TCCTGGGTTCCATGGGGCTGGGCAGGGTCCACCCCAGGGGCTGTGGGGTTGGGCAGGATGAGTCCTGGGCAATGTGGGGCTGTTCAGGATGAGTCCTGGGTTCTATAGGGTTGGGCAGGATCCATCCTGGGAGCTATGGGGCTGGGCAAGATGAGTCCTGGGCAATGTGAGGCTCTGTAGGATGAGTCCTGGGTTCCATGGGGGCTGGTCAGGATGAGTCCTAGGAGCTATAGGGCTGGGCAGGATCCATCCTGGGAGCTATGGGGCTGGTCAGGATGAGTCCTGGGCAACGTGGGGCTCTGTAGGATGAGTCCTGGGGTCTATGGGGCTGGTCAGGATGAGTCCTGGGGGCTATAGGGCTGGGCAGGATCCATCCTGGGGGTTGTGGGGCTGGACATGAGGAGTCCTGGGCAATGTGGGGTTGTTCAGGATGAGTCCTGGGTTCCATGGGGCTGGGCAGGATGAGTCCTAGGAGCTATGGGGCTGGGCAGGATGAGTCCTAGGAGCTATGGGGCTGGGCAGGATGAGTTCTGGGGGCTGTGGGGCTGGGCAGGATGAGTCCTGGGTTCCATGGGGCTGGTCAGAATGGGTTCTGGGCAAGGTGGGGCTCTGTAGGATGAGTCCTGGGGTCTGTGGGGCTGGTCCGGATGAGCCCTGGGTTCCATGGGGCTGGTCAGAATGGGTTCTGGGCAATGTGGGGCTCTGTAGGATGAGTCCTGGGTTCCATGGAGCTGGTCAGGGTCCACCCCAGGGGCTGTGGGGTTGGGCAGGTTGAGTCCTGGCCAATGTGGGGCTGGTCAGGATGAGTCCTGGGTTCCATGGGGCTGGTCAGGATGAGTCCTAGGAGCTACAGGGCTGGGCAGGATCCATCCTGGGAGCTATGGGGCTGGACATGAGGAGTCCTGGGCAATGTGTGGTTGTTCAGGATGAGTCCTGGCTGCCATGGGGCTGGGCAGGATCCATCCTGGGTTCCATGGGGCTGGGCAGGGTCCACCCCAGGGGCTGTGGGGTTGGGCAGGATGAGTCCTGGGCAATGTGGGGCTGTTCAGGATGAGTCCTGGGTTCTATAGGGTTGGGCAGGATCCATCCTGGGAGCTATGGGGCTGGGCAAGATGAGTCCTGGGCAATGTGGGGCTGGTCAGGATGAGTCCTGGGTTCCATGGGGTTGGTCAGAACGGGTCCTGGGCAATGTGGGGCTCTGCAGGATGAGTCCTGGGTTCCATGGGGCTGGTCAGGGTGAGTCCCAGGCCTTGATGAAGCCCCTTTGAGACATGTGGGTCTATGGGTGCCCCATCTATGGGTCTGGGCCACCCCGCTGTGGGGATGGCTGTGGGAACGCCGTGGTGCTGAGCCCTTTCCCTGCCCCACAGGAACAGGGTCAGGCCCCCGACATGTTCTTCTGCATGAAGCTGCTGGAGGAGACGGGCATCTGCGTGGTGCCGGGCAGCGGCTTCGGGCAGCGAGAAGGCACCTTCCACTTTCGGTGGGTACCCGAGGGGACAGGCGTCGGGGTGGGGGGCATCAGGGGGCGGTGGAGACACGGGGCTGGACCCCCCCCAAGTCCCCCATCCCTATCCGGGAGGTGGGTATGGAAAGGTGCAAGGTCTGGAGGAGCAGGGTGGAGGGAGAAGGAGGTGTTGGGTGCTCAATGGGGGGGTTGTTGGGGGGCAGAGATGGGGATATGGGGCTCGGGGGGGTGTCGCCCCCCTGAAAT